AGAAGGCGACAGAGCGTTAGCAATTAATGAGCTGAAGAAGATATGCAAAAATCCAAGATGTAAGTCGCTCTATGAGAAAACCAAGAAAGAGGCAAGACGTGAGGTTGAACGACTACAGACTCAAAAGGAGGACGAAAAAGCAAGAGCTGAGAAAGAGAAGCGCACACTGGCAGCAGAAATGATGAAGAAACTCGAGTCTAAGCAACAGCATGTAGAAACTTTGACTAAAACTGTAGGGGAGAAAGAGCGAAATGAGACGACTCTAAGACAGCAAGTTGAAGAAATAACGAAAGGAAGAGAGGAAGACAGAGCAAGATCTGAGAAAGAGAAGCGCTCACTGACAGCAGAAATGACGAAGAAACTCGAGTCTAAGCAACGAGGTGAAGACACTTTGACAGATATCTTGGTGGAGAAAAAGGTAAATGAAACGGCTCTAAGGCAGCAAGTTGAAGAGTTAGAGAAAGGAAGAGAGGGAGACAGAGCGCGATATGAGAAGGAAAAACAGTCAATAGAATTAAGCTGGAAGAAGGAGCTTGAGTCTAAGGAAAACTTTATGGAGCAACTTGAGCATGAGAACTGGAAGCTGAGATCCAAGATTCAACTAGAAAGTGAGAAACGATCAGCAGAGCAGAAGCTGCTGACTTCTGTAAAACATGCTCAAGGTGGTAAGACTTTTTTTTCAATATAATGTTTCTTTTGAACTACTTTGGGATTTTACGTTAAACAATATAACTCTCATCCCATTATTGGCTATTTAAAAAAAAATACTTATAATATTTAGCTTTTCTAGTCCAACATGGTCTCTATAGCTCCCTACCCCGTTTTTGCTACTATGGAAATACATGTACTTAAAATATCAGCTTAGCACGGCCAAAACTCTCTCAAAATTGAATTGATATGTTTTTTGTTGTTCTTGTAGTTTTAAAAAAACGTCATTTGATTACATTATCCTGTGAAACTCGAGCAATGTAAGGCTTGTGCATTATTTAGAATTTACGATTAAACGTAGAGATACAGAGAACGATCAAGATCATTCAAAATATTTTTCTCTTATTTGTTTCGTTCTTTATTCAATCGGACTTCATTCCTTCATGTCAGGCTCATCATCATCTGAGGATAATTTAACCGGAGGACTAGGAAGCAGTGATACATTACAAGCAGGGTGAGATGAAGTAACTTTACTCTTTTATACATGACAGTGATCTTTACATGGGAGTAATTTTCTTTTCTTTCTTTTAGTGACAAAAACTGCTGGGGGATGTATTGCTTTGTATTAGAATTTTGTATGTGACATCAGTGGTGCTATATGTTCAATTACGGTTTTACATGCACTTTTGTTCCATAATAATCCAGAGTCAAATTTAGAAGAAACAAAAATTCATATTCACTTTTTTTATCTTGTTACGGAATTATTTCTAAAATGGCCACGTGAAATTTATGTAGAAGTAGAAGTGTATGAAACAAACAGTGTCCTAATATTCAAATTATACAAGGAAACCCGTTTACTTGCTAGACTATACTGTCACACACTATTGAGTGACTGACTGGCCTTTTTTTTCGTTGGTAATAACGTACATAAAATGAGCTGTAAAGGGTACATGAGCATTTGTCTACATCAATAACCCACTTCTTGTAATGGCCAAAATAAAACTGATTGAATCTTCGCGCAGCACAAAACGTACGACCATCCGGTACAATGGCCCGAAAATCAGACTATTACTTATTGACTTGTTAGCACTTAAGTCGATTCGACAACTAATAGTCGTTATTTTCCCACTTAAAGACATTTTCAAGCCCTCTTTTTTTAGGGAAGTTCTAAATTAGTATTATCTTTCAAATGCCGTTAGAATTTAACCTTTTCATCTTTGGGGCCTGCAAATGAAACATAGTACCTTTAAGACCCTTATAATGTTCATGAATATTTGGATAGCAAATATTTTCTCATCGTTCCTTTGAATCAATAAAGAGATGCAGAGTATTTAATATGGTCAGATAAAGAATTCCAAATATCCGAACCACGTATCAGGACAATTACCCCCTGGGCAATCACCCCCCGGAAAATTACCCCCCGGAAAACTACCCCCCAAGGACAATTACCCCCTGGAAATTTACCCCCCGGAGAATTACCCCCCGAGGACAATTACCCCCCAAGGACAATTACCCCCCGGAAAATTACCCCCCGGAGAATTACCCCCCGAGGACAATTACCCCCCAAGGACAATTACCCCCCGGAAAATTACCCCCCGGAGAATTACCCCCCGAGGACAACTACCCCCGAGGACAATTACCCCCCGAGGACAATTACCCCCGAGGACAACTACCCCCGAGGACAATTACCACCCGAGGACAACTACCCCCCGAGGACAATTACCCCCCCCCCCTCCCTCGAAACACCATTACCGCGGCCCGAGGACAATCACACCCAGGGAATTTGTAACACTGTGACGTATAATGCGAGCTCCTCTTCAAATTGCTATTTAGAGAAAATGTCATGAACTTTCATTTTCTTAGTTATTTATGACGGAATAGATTTGTTTCGTACAGGGGTTGTGTATAAATTATATTTATATTCGTAGCTCACATTCAAAGCCCTCGTACCCATCTGCCAAATCTTTTTGCTTGACGTACATGTATCCTCCTAGGAGGAGATTTCACCCACCCCTCTCGCTCTGTATCCATTCCACCTTTGTGAAGTTTGACTTAATATGCCACGTGTATTGAATCAAATTCAATTGCCAGAAGACGCATGTATAAAATCGAATTCAATTGCCAGAAGACGCATGTATCAAATCAAAGTACGGAATTTACATTTCTTAGAAATTTAACAATACATTGCGCGCAGATGAGTACGCGTTAATACAGCTAGTCTCCCCCAAAATGGCCCAACAAAGAAATTAGGATGTAAGATATCATTACTTATGCATCCTCTGTAACTTTTCTAATCAGCTGATCGTATATTTGTCTTTGTATGTATAATGGGCCCTCATCCATGATCTATTCCAAAATTAAGGTTCTCTTCATGTTTATAAATGTAATGTAATATATATATATATATATATTTCTGTTGTCATGGTGAACTAAAATGTGTTTTCTTGTACTGTAATTTATTTTGAAATAAAAATTGCCTTCAAGTTAAATATATGGTATGTACGGTGCCATATTAAAAGAAAATAAGTATCCGCACTTGGGTACATTCATCTCAATGATTTTGTAATTCCAGAGCAGCGTTTTTTCAACTGGGGTGCCGCAAGAGAATGTTAGTTACATGACAATTTTTTTTTGCAAACGTTGATTTTGTGAAAAACAAATATCAGAAACGGGTAGAGTATTTATTGTCATTAAAAAATAAAATGTAAACAAATAATAAAATGTCTTTCTTCCTTGCTCACTGACAAAATTTTGCGAATATATATCTTTTATTTCGACATCACATTGTTACCACACTCATCACAATTATAAACATGATGAATCAAGGCAACGAGAGGCCCGAATATCCTCATATTCGTGTATCAAGGTCATGACCGAATATTTCACTTTATATTCGTGTACATTCGGCGGTGAGGCGCCCGCATACCTTAAATCTGTGCTAGTGTGTTGATTACAACATTATGTTTTACCATTTTGAAAATGTCTTGTCCTTGTTTTTCTTGCTCGTTCACTAAATCAAGAAACAAATGTGCCCATACGTGTGTACATAGCACTTGACGAGTGCCAGAGTGATGCAAAATAAATAGTTTGTGAAGAATTTAAGATTGGGCGAAACTTTTCATTTCTTAAGAGGGCATCGTGTCGAACAAAAAGTTGAAATAACGCTGCACAAGAGAAATCCTTCGTAGAAAACAGCAACCACAGTGTTGTTGCATAGATTATAGTTAAAGAAAAATGTGTAGTAATGAGGAAGATCACGCGCAAGTATTTGAACGAATGTGGGTTCATGCACGGGATTTTATGGGCTCGTAGCCTTCACAGCATCTCTCAACGTGACAGATCGTCTTTTGCTATTGAATCCTGATTGTCCCCGGGGGGGGGGGGGTAATTGTCCTCGGGGGTAGTTGTCCTCGGGGGGTCATTTTCCGGGGGGTAGTTTTCCGGGGGGTAATTATCCTTGGGGGGTAATTGTCCTCGGGGGGTAATTCTCCGGGGGTAATTTTCCGGGGGGTAATTGTCCTTGGGGGGTAATTGTCCTCGGGGGGTAATTCTCCGGGGGGTAATTTTCCGGGGGGTAATTGTCCTTAGGGGGTTATTGTCCTCGGGGGGTAATTCTCCGGGGGGTAATTCTCCGGGGGTAATTGTCCTTGGGGGGTAGTTTTCCGGGGGGTAACTTTCCGGGGGGTGATTGCCCAGGGGGTAATTGTCCTAGAACCTCCGAACCATGGTATCTTACCGATAAATAGGCCATAATAATGTTCGTGTTAGTTAAATGGAAGTCGGGTGAGTGTCGTGTAGGAAAAGAGTGTATATTATTATTTTCAAGTTTCAAGTTTCAAGTTTATTTCACATTTCACAAATAAAAAGAATTTAAATAATTGACAAAATTAGAACATAATATGAAATATACTAAAAGTGTCACATTATATAATAAATTCTTTGAAAAGACGTCGAAATTAATTGTAATGAATAGAAGGTTATACAGAGTGAAATGTGAGGAACCTATTAAAAAGCTCAGCTTTTAGATTATAGGTTCCCATAAATAAAACTAACATTTGGTTGAAGTAGTTACACACAAATAGTCCGAAATGCTAATGGTATAGTATTTTTCAAAAATGAATGCATAATTTTTGATGTTTTTAGTTCATGATAAAAATTGATCAGTATATGGACTATAATATAAATGTAAATACGAGTGCTTTCTTTTGGAGACCATATGTTAACATAATTTTCATCTTATTACTATTACCCCCCATGCTACGTGACCTTGAGATATATATGGTCTTGTTATCGGTGTAACTTTGTTTGATCCTTTTCTTTCTTCAGCTAATATAATGGTTTTAATTACTTTATAGCGAGCATATATGCTCGCTATAAAGTAATTAAAACCATACCCGATACTTACGCTCGCTGGCCTCCCCTTATGGATTTTGTTTTGTATACCGTGTGCCATCCTAGAGAGGAGCCCCCAGATGATGAGTTTGCAAACATCTTAAAGAAGATAGCTGTCGACCTTTACGATGAAGACAAGATCGACAGCCTTGCTGGTCGGCTGGGGATCCTACATGGTGACATACAGAGAGCGCTCCAGACCAATATGAGGTTTACCCAAGTTACCAGTAATGGAACCTGTCTTATGCTGAAAGGTTGGAGAAGAGGTGTGTCCAGGGAAGAAGAACGGATGAAGCTCAGGAAGGCATTGCTTGCTGCCGGTTGGTCAACCTTGCAGACCTGTACCTCAGCGAAGGTAATGTCATGTTTGCATTAAGAAGAATATAATTCCCGTAATAGAGACATATTGAATACTTTAGCGATACGCAATTTGCTGTTATATTTTATGAACAATACGGTCCGTGTGCATGATCCGTTTAGAGTCAGATCTAAATTATTTTCTAAAGCAAGTCCCTTTCCCGCGTTCAAACTATTGATATAAATATCGAAGTGACGTAATAGCCTAGGTATACTCCTTTCATACAGGAAACATGAATAACAAGAACGAGGAGGACTTGACGGATGGAAGTAAGAGCCAGCATCCTGAACAATCACCGGACCGCAGTGGAGAGAACTTGGATGCATCTGAAGTGACTTCTGAAGATGTGGCCTCTGAAGAAGTTCATGCTGGTGATGATATGACTACTAGTAATTTAAGTAGCATTCAACCTTCTGAACAATCTTCCAGCCATGAAATGCAAGTCCCACCTGAAAACATATCTCCAGGTGGGAAGCCTAACAAGGAATCCACCATCTTGGATAAAAGCCCTTCTCTGTTAACCTGCCAAAGGCCCGTCCTGATGAAGCGTCCCGCAGTTGGCGTTAGTCCTCAGAAGCGAAAACAAAGTAAATCCAGTAATTTGTTTAAATAATATTTTATGTTATTTATCTACTGCATGCATGGTTGATAACAGTCATAGAAATAATCTCTATAATCATCAACCGAACTATATTGTATTTCTTTTAATGTGAACCAGGTTAAACCACAAAAAAAATCGTTTATAATTTCTACGATAAACATTATCTAAATATTACAAGAATGGCATGCATGGCTTGATTTTTTTTTTTAGAGTAGATTTGAATTTCTTTTTTGGCAAGATATCAAGATGTAGAAAAACAATCAATTCTAGAAATTATTTCAAGAGTCACTTATTATAACCGGAGCAATTTTGATTTATTTGTATACTGTAATATGTCGAACAAGTATAAGTTAGATCAATTATACAATATTCAAATGTTGTTTTTCACTGTACTTACAAAAGAATTTTTCATTCGGAGCAGAAGAATCGAATAATTTCATTTAAAAAGCTGCAACGCTCGTTGTTATTTGTGTATCTAGCGTAATTTTGGAATATAGGTAAATGAATACATAAATGAAAAACGAAGTAAATAAATTAATATAAAAATAATACAAACATAAATAAACAATTATAAACATTGATTTAAATAATATAAGACTCGCTGTAAATGATTATCATATTAATTTCTTAAAATTTGTGTTTATATCTGTTTTCATATATTTGCTCACTTACTTTTATATTGTGGCGTACTGAACTTATAATATAGTGTATATTAAGGATGGTTAGTTGTCATTCGAGGCAATGACAATTTGTCCAACCTTGTCTATTCTTATTTCATTAGTTTGTGTACTTGGATTTGGTCTCATATGATCTCTGTCTTTGATTCACCTTGTAAAATTGTCAGTTTCCTAGTGTATGTATCTAGGTTGCATATATTTGTTCTCTTTTTTTATTCAGGACATTAAATCGGATTTCTTGTCCGCTAAGTAACATTGTTTTTTAGCTAATGTAACAACCTGGTGGTAGAGATAGATAGATAAGTGGTTTATTAATGAAAAACATCAATGCGGCATAGCCGAATTGCGTTGATTTTTACAAATATTCCTTTTTTTAAATGACATAAATACATTAAGCAGTAAATAACGTTATTCTGAATTATATAATCGATGGCAGATAAACTACGTGTGATTTTGGCGATTAGGCCATATCAACAGTCTTTCATGGAACGGGACGTGGGCTAATGAATGTTACACAATAAGGATATGGAAGGCCAGACGGAGACGCCCAGGAACCAGACGAGCTAGGTACCAAGTTAATAGACATTGTACCTATTAACGACTTTAATAGAGAGAACGTTAAGCTTTGGTAAAAGTGAAAATCATTTGTTAGCTTCCGCAATTTTTTGCGAAACTTCGTTAACCTGACAACGTGATGCGACACGAATACCAGATGGAACAGCGTGAACCCTTTATTGGTTCAATTGAGAAGCATGTCGCAGAAGAAAAATAAATATCTTTACATTCTTCAAATTTGAATATGACAAGAAATAGCGAAAGAGTTCGGATCAAACTGTCATTCCACACTTGTGTGTGTGCGTATGTGATGTGTGCGTATAGTTCCATAAACATAAACCCATGTGGGCTGTGTATGCGACTTTCAGCAAGACTGCCACATATTCTTCTTATTTTGGAGATCCCTTGACTTAGAGTATAACACACTTTTTACTTACAATAAAACACAATCAGCTCTCAAGCCTTGTAGGGTATGCACGTGATATTTTTTTCCAGCAAGACTGCGACAACCTCTTCTTTTTTTTTGGTGATCTCATGAACTTACATATATTACTACACTGTTTGCTTATTAAAACACATGTTACGATATTATAGCAGATTCTTTCAAGAACATTTATATAACTTTGTCATACCGTGCTGAAAGCATTCCAGGTACCCTTGCATTATGACTTTGCAATACTGCATGTGATTTGCTACGTGTGTTCTATACATAAATGTTGTGTTCAAGCTAACATTCTCCTTTGTAAGGTTGTTTGTGGTTGTTTGTAATATTATCTTTCTTATGCTATCATATTTCATGTATTTAATCTTGAGTCGTTTTTGTATAACCGTTATTGATATGTCGATCTCATACATGTTTCCACTGAACTATTGCTCAGTTCCTAAAATGTATATACTGTATTAAAATAATTGTGTCAAATGGGAAAATATTCAAATGATAAAAGAAGACTTGTGTAAAGTCATGGTAGATGTACATGTAGGTCAAGGCCAGTTGGCTCACGATCAGTCACTCATTTAGATGTACGTAGATACGGTAATAAATAAGTTTCCTTACTTTTAATAGATTTATCGTTCCATATGTGTAGGCCTATTGTCATGATTGTAACATCTAAATAGTGATCATGTAGAGAGAGGGGAAGAAAGCAACCGAAACAACTCGTATATTGGTGTGCGCGTGCGAGTGTGTATGTTTGTGCGTTTAAAATATCGAATATACCTATTTGGCATACCTTACCAAGATACTTATCATCCAAGATTTATAAAAAAAAATATTTTCTCCCCTTTTTTCGTTTGATTATTTATCTATATACATTTAGCATAGTTGTTGGCAATTGATACAACATCACATAACCAAAACATAACACATACCTGATTCAGAAGTTAACTACACTTAAATAACTTGTTTTGAAATCAGATTATTAAGACGTTAGACACCCATAACTAGCTCAGTAATAAATTACTGTTCAACATGTCCTGGTGGTCTGACAATACGACCACTTCTAATTGTGAGAGATTTCGTTTGACTTGTTGTGGTTATGTCAGGTTTGTGTTTTTGGTTTGTACGTGTTGTAAGTGTCTGTCAGGTTCTGTACATGGGCAGTGTGGTCAGTCACTGGTTCATCTGGGAAGTGGACTTTTTTAGTTGGCATGTTCAAGTCTCTCAGATGATTTCTGTTTCTTCGTAGGAGACCACCATTTGGATATATATTCGCCGTGTGTGTGTGTGTGTGTGTGTGCATATGAGTATTGAAGAGATTAATTAATACGTCAGAGCAAAGAGAAACCAGCAAAGAAATACCTCCTTGGTCAGAGGGCGAACTGAAGAGAGAAATAGTTTGTGTGTGTGCGTGTGTGTGTGTGAGAGAGTGAGAGAGAGGTGGTGAGTGTGTGTGTGTGTCTTTCCAATGGTGATATGATGTTAGGGTCGGCCATCCGTATCTGAGGTAGGATAAACAGATATGTTTTAAAAAAACACAATACAAAACACAAACAATAAGACACACAGCTTGCCTACTTCATACTCGGTGAAAATGTATTTAATACTAATGAAAACATATCTCACCCGTACAGGAAACGGGCTAAATTTTTAGCGTCAATGCGTTGCTTGGATGATCAAGTGCCTCATTCCATAAAAAGACAAAGCATATATATTTTAAAGAAATTACATACGTGTACATTTTGTATATCTTCTTTGGAGTTTACTTTGCAGCTCACTTTGCAGCATGTCTTGTAATATAATAATGAAATATTGGGTGTTCAAAATAAAAGTTTTCAACGCAGCATAACTGTAAAGTATAGGCCGTGAAGTTCTTCTTCCATTGAGTACATCCCTCTTTACAGAGTATTGTCTTACTATACTGGGATGTACAGATGGACCACTACACCGGGGTGTCCCCCTTCTTAACGTGCAAATGTAGTAGCTCTTCTCTACACGGGGCCTCCATTTAACGTCCTATCCGAGGGACGAAATGATTTTCACTTAACATATAGCCTGCGTCCATGAAACAAGGGGAGAGGCACGTTAACACACAATGCAGGCTTCGGTCATCGTCCGCCTGGGTGGGATTCAAACCCTATAGTCAGGCAGACGCTTTAATTACCGACTGAGCCCACTCGCCTGCCTATTCATAATTTAAAATATGATAATTTATTGTTAATCTAACTTCTAAACTACATGTTTTAATGAGTACAATGTGCACAAATTGTCTCATGCTCAAGTCATTACCAACAAATTAAGTACAGAGCGACCAAAAATCAACTTCAATAACAATAATAATACTACTACTAATAATAATTATAATAATTATAATAATAATAATAAAAATAATAGCGATAATAATAACAATTAAAAATGATAATAATAATAGTAATGATAATTATAATGATAATTGTCTGAGGTTATATAGCGCTAAATACATCATAAATGTTTCTTAACTAATGGGGTAATTAAATTGTCCTTGAATTGATTTCTATGGTTTTAATGTTGAATGTAGTACATGCATGCATTGTGTTACGAAAGACAAAAATGAAGGCCAAATTCAATGCCATTATTCCCAAAATCATATTCAGATTACGGACTAAGCTATTGTTATGCTAGCCTTTGCAAAGAGGTCACGGACTAGGTCACTGCATGTTAGTATTAGGTTGATTTTCTTAAAGGCAGGCTTTACTACTTCAGCTAGAAGGGATGAGAACACCCAGCGAGCCAGCGAGGTCACTGTGACAGGTGGCTATCTCAATAACTCAGCTCTCATTTGAGAAAAAGAGGATCACGGGGAACCAACAGGCACCGATTTTGGGAAGTTTTCTATATAAAGGGAGCAAGTAGCTACAAGTAGGAAAGTGTGCCTTTAAACCTTTGCGATATACGTGTTAAAAATGATTGGGTCAGCATTTGTAGTAATCTGGACTATTCTTGTTGAGTTGAGTATCGCACAGACATCGCTTCCCTCGTACAGCATCGAAACAAGCTGAAACAGAGAAAGATTAAACAAAGGGAAACATCATATGAGTTTGAAAACATTAAAAAAAAGCTTGACGAAATGATCAAATGATCATAAATAAGGTTAAAGCTGACTGCTTAGTACAGTATACTTGTTCCTGTCTATAAAGTGAATCATTCTTTTAAAATAGCAAAATCCTGTTCCGTCAGTACCCAACAGGTGGCGCTCTTTAGTTCAGTTCAGTTTATTAATATCATCATTTCGCATCCTGGGCTAAATTTCATGACAATTTACAATTAAAAACATATCATATTTCTTTTACAATTGTTTCAAATAATACTAGTTAAAATACAATATAATTAACAAGGACAATGAGTTTTCGTCAATACTTAGCTCACTTTCTAGTGACAATTCACAATATTAGCAATAAGTATCAATGAATATATATACAACAAAAATATTCCCATTAATAATTTTTATGTAATTTGATTTTGCATCAAAAGTCATAAACCAGAGCCATCT